CCTGTGATTTTCTAAATTAGTGCAGAAGTGAGCCACAGTACGATAYAAGGTATTTAGTAAGTTGATAACAATTGAATGGCCAATAGTTGGAATCATCCATCCATAATATTTATTATCTGCTGCAAATATATGGCCCTGAATGGAAACATGTAGCATTTAGTTTTCAATATGAGATTAATGGCTTTGGATCTGCCCTTTAACATGAGGTGTACACTACTGCTGCTACTGTTAGAACAAAGATTGTGATTTGATGAAATAACAAAGAGAGACAGGTAATACAAAAAAACCCGAAGATGTCCAGTAGAACAATAGRTGTTGTCTGACATAATCCTAATAATTCTTTGTTTTTGTTGTCTCGATCAATCACAAGCTTGTCTGCTTCTGATAGTAGTGTTTGACCCTTGAACATTGATAGACAAGATASAATTTCACTTACTGGTTGTGCAAAACGTGATAAGGCTTCAAAATAAACAGGACTCTCTTTGTCTCTTATGTACCCATTAAAGTTAAGTGAGCATAACATGGCACCAACAGCAATGCTCAAGACAGGAAGCGTAAGCAAGAAACTGAGTCCATATCGAAGCCATCTCTTCCACCGAGGAAAATACTTGATAGGCTTCCCCGTGATGGGACTTTTAATCACCTTCCCATGAAACTCTGGCCTGATTTCTTCAAGGTGTTCAACGTTCACTGTATTCCATTTATAAGATAGCTCTGATTCTTGTCTTTTCCAGTACTGAAAATACAGATAATGTAGAGAGAAAGATGTGCTTTCTAATGTGCTGAGATGATGATAATGATGATGATGATGAAAAGTGGGCAATCCATGGAAAATGGAGTTGTTAGAGAAAATGATAAACAATATACATTGTATCTGACACTTAAGCCAGATGACAGGTATATGTATTATCCAGATTCAACTGCTACTACATAATYTSTAAAWWTGTTCATAMTCCTGTGTAATATGGCAAATATGTWACAAATTTGTCTAAAAACATTTCTCAAAATTGGCTTAAATGCTTGATCTCTTGAACAATATCGATGCCTACGTCTGATAATTAGGCTTTGCCTGCATCTAAGCCAAGGCTCAAAAATTCAGAAATGCAGGTTATAATATTGTCACCCTGAAGATCCCTGCTAAGGGCAAGAGCTCGGGCTTATAAAGTCAAAATAGTCTAGGTTGATGTGTCTAAAAATAAAATTATGTGAAAATTCAAATTAACCCAACAGAATTCTTCATCAAAGTTCCTCAAATGAAAATTTACAATACTTGGAAATTTCATCACAACTTACTGCAAGAAAGGAAATCGCCCAAAATGCCATTAGCACTTCATAAAATGGTAGTAGGGGGTTATCATCCACTGTAACRTCTTTAGGCTTGAAGAAATACAGCATTATACCCATGAAAGCCACTGGTAAGAGACTCCATGTAAAACATGTCATCCAGCCAAAATAGAAAGCTACTCCTTCACCTGGGACAATAAGAAAGATGTATTAGTATATATGATAGTCTAAATGAAGTTTCAGAATAACCGATTTATTCAATCAATATAATCAGGAGAAATACTTCATTCCTGAAACTCTTCAATATTGAGCCGTGAGAAGATCATCAAGCTGAGATGTTATGTTACTGATATGCCCCCTGCAGAAATCAACATCCCACCTGAATCCTGGTATAAAAACATATCTTGTTCTCTCAGATACACATTTTGAAATCTTTCATATAATGATTATGAATTCCTTTCTTCTAACTTTCCTAAGTTTCTTCTTGAAAATATTTGTTCATTCAATTCATTTAAATTTAATGCCTGGTTGTCATACATCACTACTAAGTTAATCCTACCAAAATAGTCTCTTATTTCTTGTAGAGGACAAGTTATTATGTTAGCCTTGATTCTCTTCCATAGCTTTGCTTGAGACTCTGGGTTATGGAGTGGATAGGCTGCTTCAAGAATGGCTGGTTTGGAGTGCAGAAGGCCAGTAAGGAAAGCRTCTGCACCTAGCTGAACTTTAAGTGATACAAACTTGCTCTACAAAACATAAAAAGAAAATAAACAGATTGAATGCTTTCAAGTGTTGTCTGGACATATTTTCAGATTGTCCAAGCTACATGTCTGGACAATATGTCTGCTGTTATTCCTTCAAGACCATTTGAAATCCTGCTGATAACCATGAAGAGTTTGGATACTTGCTACAGGAGTGGTTACTAGTTAAAGTACTTGGGCTGGTTGCACAAATRGTGGATAAAGTTATCCACCAGTTAAAGTTATCAGCTCCTTAAGGCTTGTTTACACTAATTGCAATTTTTGCAGTGCRATTRTCTTGCGAMAATCGCCTGAGTTTCGAACATTCTTGGAATTTAACTGCAACTTGCAGCAATTTTTGATTGCCGCAACAATCGCATGGCTGTTTACACGTACGATTTGAGCTGCGAGAGAGCAAAGTGGCTATTGTCGCGCAACAATCTCGCTGCAAAAATTGCAAGTGTAAATGGGCCTTTAGATCTTACTGTATGGTAATCACCCTTCATACAGAGAATATGGGAATATTTAAAGGTTGCAGGAATGGAGAAGTAGGACTTTTTATAGAGGCCTTTTGAAAGTCTCAAKACAAAGCTTGATTAAATATTCTGAATACCTTGTCATAATCAACAGCATCAAGGCAGCTATGGACAAGAAATCCTCTTTCTGATTGGGTAAAAAAGGTCTCTTTATTCTCTGAGCCAGCAAAATTATCCAGCTGATCCAGGGAAAATTCCCATGTCTGTAAAAAAAAACATTGAATATCTTATTCATTAGGGGCGACCCACTGGACTTTTGAGGGGGGCAGATGGAAAATCTAGTTGGTGCAAGAAATTTTTTTGGACCTCAGGCGCGTGCTTGMAATTTTTTTGTAAATTTACAAAAGCTTTAGTGGAGGTTTTTCAAATCTTTGCCTTGCAGGAATTTTTTATTGGCCCTTCGGGCCATGCAGGAATTTTTTTTTAAATCGTCCATCCCTCCCCCCTCAAAAGTCTAATGGATCGCCCCTTAGAAGTCGTCTATAAAGTCCTGTTTATATGAAAGTGTTTTTTAAATAAATACTTTAATCAACACTTTGASAAACTGAGCATGATTTACAAAGTCCAAATGTGACACAAACACCAGTCAAAGCACAACCTGCTGTAACAAACACCGTTATAATTAAGAACAGCTTTCTGTACATAGTTTTATGCAAATACAATGATATTGCTTGTTTGAAGATAGTTTTTAAACTTAATTTCCCAAATATAATCATTTGAGCTTGAAGTGCACAAATGTAATAGAAGATTCCAGATTCGAATAATAATATTATTCATTGTTCCTTTGTACATAAAGAATCTTTCGATTCATAATATGTAAGAATGTAATGAGTTTTTTTCAATGGTTTTGGGAAGAGCTACAAGCTCTCGCAAAAATTCGGCAAAAAAATTCTTGGAAAATTGCAAAATATAAGTAAAATGATTATTTTGTCATTTTATCCTTACCCCAGACCCATCGGCTTTTTCTTTTTCAAAACCTAATTGCTCAGCCTGAAGAAATAAAATGGTAAATAAGAAAAGAAAATTGCAATTAACATTTGKATAAAAAAAAACTTTCAAACATAAGTTTACATATATGTAATTTTGTCCAAAATTTCCACATGTACTCACCTTCTGAGCAAGAACATCGAATGGTGCCCTCACGCTCAGCAACGTTTGACCCTCGTGTACTTCTTGACGAACTTCAAGATTCTTCCGCTTTAGGCAATCAACAACATAGCCTTTTACCTCTTCTGAGATGAATTTTTCGGAAAAAACGAGAGAAAAATCCCAACTTTCTTCAGCCTCCATCTTTCTGTTGCAACACGAGTTGTTGCACTGCATTGGTAACCACTCCTTGTTGTTGACGTCACGCAATGATTCACACTCACATCACATGCGTGACACCGTGTTTTGAGTTTACATCGATCAACGCAAACAAAAAAAAATCATATTCGCGATTTCAAAAAATAGTCTCTTGGTTTAGCTGGACCTTCCACTATGAAGGCTGAAAATTTCACTTTAATAAAAAAAAAGTAAGAAAAGCACGCGGAGGAGATTGGGAACAAAGACAGTCTTACAAAATCATTTTAATCAAGACCAGGGAGTTAATTATTTCATTCCGTTTTCAAAAACATCGTCAGTTTTGAAAATAAACTGGATGTACGCAGGCTACGAGACCATAGCTTATCATATGGGGGTTAAAAAGCCCAGCTGCCAATAACTGCCAACCAAAAATACTCGACATGACACCTGTTTTTACACAATGGCGATTTTTTCATGGCACGTGTTGATGCCGTGCAACAACAATCGAAGTGTTAGAAACATTTTTATTTGTCAATATCCATGGCGATGAATACTCGTACAAGTTTTACTGAGCTAAATAAAAATGAACGAATCATTCCAAATAACTATAAACCCCACTTTACTAGTAAATATACACTAACAAGAGTAATGTCAAAGCCATGGGCATGACAAGTACCTATATAATGTATAAAAAATGTATCTATTTGTCTATGCGGGCCGTCGACCTGAAATATCGAGACAAATAAACATTTAGCCCATACGATATTTAGCCCATACGACATATCTAATCCCATGTGTGGTAGAAAAAAAAACTTCAAAATGTCAAAACATTTATTATTCACATTGGTCAAAAATTTCTCTGTRCAAAAGATTCAAACATCGGTTATTAGTGTATATACTCGACTTACTTCTTTTTCACAAGCGTACTTGTCGCATACTCTTTTTTATTAAAAACTTGTCCGAGTATTAAAATCTTTAAAATCTTAGCATACAGATTATAGTCTAAAATATTGAAAAAGTCGACAATTTGTAAGTTACCCTAAGTTACATATACTTTTTTTTCTGGAAAATATTGATAAGTTTAGCTCATGATGGACATGACGACTTAACGGAAAATGTTTCATTTGACTTGTGATTTCCATGGCAATTTACTGCCAGCCCACAGTTGTACTGATGATTAATAACCATAACACAGATCGTTACAAGAACTTGTTTTAAATCCGTTTTTAGCAAAGCTATTCTATTCRAAATTTGTTTTTGACACCTTTTAATGTCTATATCGACGATGGATGTAATTATTTCAGTTTCTATTTCAGTTTCACCAAATGTTCAGTTTGAAGAGGAATTTTTACGATAGACATATCAATACCGTTATAATTCTTTGTATTCTTCTTCTTTGTTTGATCGAAGATGGATCCCAAACCATATTACAATAAGAATGTTTGTCATCGATACAGCAATCATCATCACCAGGCTATAACTCGATAAAAATATCCCTCCCAAGGGTTCTAGTGAAGGCCGTCGATGCTGCATCTCAATAGCCATRGCGGTAAATTGATCTGAAACACCCAACGCCGTGAACACATGAAGAAAGTTATGACTGTGTCCCACAATATCAAAAACGCCGGGCATCAATCGTTCAGGCATTCTGGATGTATTAGCCAAGGCAGCGATCAAATAGAATATACTATGYCTCTTAAAATAGGACCAAGCCAAGGGGTCGATGGACTCCTCAATACCCTCTACAGCTGCTCTGTATAAATATGGTGAACAATTAAAAAAGAACGCTAGCACAAAACAGCCTGTTCTRATAACGTACTTGTATCTGGGCCAACGGTGTCTTGAAGCACAGCAGAAGTAAGTCGAGATAAATGAAACAAGGATTGATCCTAGGAGGTAGATACCTGGAGAGAAGAAGCTACGTCCAATGTTGTCATTTTCAGGAACGGGACGGCCGTACGAATAGAAAGCCATACCGGCTCCTACACTGTAAACACTAATAGCGCAATAGTCACAGAAGAAACAAACATGTCTAGTCCTCGGGGACATTGAATTGAACAGATGAGCTCCTGAACTCATGAGGAGAAATCCACAGATTCCTACGGCAAAGCACAATAGAGGGTACGTATAAGGGTCAAATGGTTCCCGGTTGAAGAGTAAGGTGAAACGCACGATAAACAAGAGGAAAGGAATGAAATGTGTCCAAAAATTCATCGTTTCGTTACGGGCCATAAATGCACTCTTGATGCAATGGTAAGAAGATGTATACGGTTTTCTGTAGCCGGTCATAATAAACTGTTCACGAAACTGACTCGGCACTTCGTCCCATCGTAAGGCCCGACACAAGCTATTCTCTTGACACTTTTCTTGATTTTCTTCGCATTTCTCCTGAAGACCAACTTTACCGCCATTAAMAGCTTTTCTTTGGCTGCAACTTACACCGTTAGCTATCTTTCCCATCGTGAATTTGRKTATATTTGTGTGGTTAAATGTATCTTACTTCAGTAGTTTTAAATTTGACAGGTGAATTATATTCAAAGTCATGGACATAAATTAGCGATTCTCCAGGGGTAACACATCGACACCAGTTACAACATTCAGCAGGTCACCTTTAGAACAGCTGTGATTGGATGTAATATCCAATTGATATGCCAAATGAACCAATCATATTCAGCTGTGATAGAACAATAAATGTCGCAGTGAGCAGATCTTTCAAAAGGAAGAAAATATTCAAACAACACGGTTTTATAGTGAACAATGGGTCTCTGTCTAATGATCGATTTCATAGTGTTGAATCATTCCTTACATGTAATTATATACGCTTGTTTTTCATCAGTTAAAAATAAATAAACATTTATTCCTGAAATGCGATTTTCTTACACGGTAACACTAACTCATCTAAAACGGAAAAATCGAAGGCTTCGAAGAGACAACGTATAGGACAACAGTACCTTACTCGTCACCAGTCGTCTCACTGTTCTATCACTGTGAATCACGGAAAAAGAAGATTTTTAAAAAATGGCTATAGTCACGTTCGCTGATCGGAGAACTAGTGTCGAAACACGAAAATAAAGTAAGTTTTCGTCCGTATATGGATAAAAAACACAACATTACTTCTTGCATGAGACAAAATATGACATTCGTATCAAATTTAATTCATAGTTGGCCTTCAATACAACCAATTGCCCATTTATCAAAGGGAGACTGGAAACAAGTATATGAAAATAGTCGAAAACTTTATCGAAATCTGAACCTCATCATATAAAAGACCATACTACAAGTAACACTATTTTTAAGTTTGGGCCTATTTGGTTGAAAACTCATCAAGTAGGAATGTTTTTCAATTTTTTTTTAAATGAGAGAGAATGACAACACTCAAGAGCTCCATACATTNTCATTCCTTAATTATATACACTTGTTTTTCATCAGTTAAAAAAAATAAACATTTATTCCTGAAATGCGATTTTCTTACACGGTAACAGTAACTCATCTAAAACGGAAAAATCGAAGGATTCGAAGATACAACGTATAGGACAACAGTACCTTACTCGTCCCCAGTCGTCTCACTGTTCTATCACTGTGAATCACGGAAAAAGAAGATTTTTTTAAAAATGGCGATATGTCACGTTCGCTGATCGGAGAACTAGTGTCGAAACACGAAAATAAAGTTAGTTTTCGTCCGTATATGGATAAAAAACACAACATTACTTCTTGCATGAGACAAAATATGACATTCGTATCAAATTTTCATTGGCCTTCGATACAACCAATTGCCCATTTATCAAAGGGAGACTGGAAACAAGTATATGAAAATAGTCGAAAACTTTATCGAAATCTGAACCTCATCATATGAAAGACCATACTACTAACACTATTTTTAAGTTTGGGCCTATTTGGTGAAAACTCATCAAGTATAGGAATTTTTTTCAATTTTTTTTTTAATGAGAGAGAATGACAACACTCAAGAGCTCCATACATTCTTTGTTATTCTTTTCGAGTTTGTAACGTTCAATCAATCAATCAATCAATCAATCAATCAATCAATCAATCAATCATACAAAAGTTCACCGACTTATGCGGACTTTGGTACTAACCATAGTTGTGGGGACATAAGGTTTTCAAAATGATTTTAAAATGATTAAGCCTTTGATGGACTCAGGATTCAATCCTCTATTATTAGACACCTTGAAATTGACCGAAAGGGAATTTTTGTGCGGACGTAACAAACAACTTGAAAGAGATGATCACCGACTTGTGCGGACTCCGTTTCACTTATATGATCACCGACTTATGCGGACTTCACAAACATTTTCACGTACTATCGTCACCGACTTATGCGGACTTTACAAACATTTTCACGTACTATAGTCACCGACTTATGCTGACTTTACAAACATTTTCACGTACTATAGTCACCGACTTTTGCAAATTAATGGCATAAAGCCGACTATTCTATCCATAAAAATCTATCTAGTCTATCCATAAAATCGGAAATATAAATTATCTTCTTTTTTATTTATACCTTGTTGCCTAGTTATTCGTTAGGACCAGTACTTGGATTTATATAATTCCAAAAGTATATCTTCTCGTATACACAATTTGCACACTCAAGTGGTGACTGCCGATAGCTGCTGTTTGCGAGATAAAGATGGCAATATACACTACATTCTCTTTCACCATACTCCACATTATGACCTTATAATGCGTATCTCCTTTGCGCATGCGCAATAAGCCACGTTTCAAAGTACCATTGTTATGCAAATTAAAGTATATAAAATGCAGTGACCAGCAAGACTCGTCCTCTTCTTCTTTCGTGCTGGCGCACTGAGTGTTTTGACGATAAAGTACCGAATAAGACCAGTATGTCCACTTCCACGTGCGTAAACGACCAACATAACGAAGAAGAATCGTTGTTGGAGCCCGAAGGGTTTCCCGACGCTCATTCACAGCATGCATCCGTCGCTCCGTCTGACCATGCAGAATATCTAGATAATCTCAAACATCACCTTGGGATAGATACCATGCGAGAAGCAATAGAGAATTTGACCTCTACTCTTGATAGGAGTACGAGTAAAAGACGCTCGCGGCACGAGGCTGGTTCAGCTCGTAAAAGAAGCCGTGAAGGTGAGGGTTTCGATCCCACCGAAGCTTTAGAGTCGCTTCATTCATCTTCAAGTAGCGAGCAAGGCGTCAGTGACGCGGTCGAGGAGGATGATTTGCCTCCTTCAATATTCGACGAAAATGAGTCGAAGGGTCCAGAGGTGTCTGAGGCTTTGGCTAAGAGAGTCAACGAAGCTTTTACCGTTAAGCCTTTGGAGGGTAAGATGAAATTGTTGATGGACAAGTACAAAACACCCTCAAATTGTGAACTCATGTGTGTTCCAAGAGTAAATACCACGTTGTGGAATGAACTACCAAGAAAAGCACATCAAATTGACCTGGGACTCCAGGAAGCTCAAAAAGCTATTGTTAAGACAGGCCAAATAGTCGTGCAAATAACCGACGATATGCTCAAGGCTAAGAAAAACAAAGAGCATTTAAAGCCATCAAAGTATATTGGCCTGCTCTCAGACGCTATTAATTTTCTCGGACACGCGGGTTTCCAGACGTCTTTAAAGCGAAGAGAGCTCCTGAAACCGGAACTAAGCAAGAATTTTCAATCTCTGTGCTCCGCGACAGTTCCCATAACAAGTCTATTGTTTGGAGACGACCTTTCTAAGTTTGTGGACGATATAACGAAGGCTAACAAAGTCGCTACAAAGATTACACAGTCTACTGAGTCTCGCCGAGGCCGCAACCGTGGTTCTGGGCGCCGTTCTAAGTTCTCTGGTAGCTACAATAATAACTATGGCTATAATTCAGGTTCTCGTTTTTTACGGCACAGAACCTCGTCAACTTGGACGAGGGGACAACAACGAGAGACACAACAAAGGTACAACCGAAGCAAGAACTCATCAAAATCGGAAAACACCCAAGACAAATAAACAATGTGAGTTTAATTTGTAATGTGGGTAATCTAGCTACTAAAGTGAATGAATGGTCTAAAATTACTTCGGATCCTTGGATTCTTGAAACTATTCGGGGCTATCGACTGGAATTTGATTCATGCCCATGGCAAGTGTTTGCACCTATGACTCCAAATCATTCCGAGTCTAATTATCAACTATTAAATGCAGAAGTTGATAAACTTCTTTCAAAAGGTGCGATCGAGCAAGTGTCTCATGTGCCAGGTGAATTCATTTCCTCATTGTTTTTGGTTCCAAAGAAATCCGGTGATTTTAGACCAGTCATTAACTTGAAACCTTTAAATAAGTTTGTGCAACGTATCCGTTTCAAAATGGAGAGCATTGATCTCATTAGTGGCTTGTTGCACCCAGGGGATTATTTAGCCTCTGTTGATCTTAAAGATGCGTATTTTAGCGTAAATATTGATCCTCGTGATCGCAAATATTTAAGGTTTTGTTGGAATTCTATTGTTTATCAGTTCACCTGTTTACCATTTGGCTATAGTTTAGCACCTCGCGTGTTTAC